CGGATAAAGCCACAAAGTCGGCTTTTGGGGGGGGGGTAATGACATGATCGATAGTAATATATACTTTGATCTGTCAGCGTAATAAAGATTTGATTTGGGGTTTTTTGGTGATGGTGGGGTAATGACATGGTTTATATAGAGGTGTATTTTGGTTTATGACCATAATAAAGATTTGATTTGGCTGTTTTGTGGGGGGAGGGAAATGCTGTGGTTTATATAGAGATATATGTTGGTCTATGACCGTAATAAAGATGTGAGATATAGAAAGAGCCCGTGTGATCAAGGTGCTGCTGGTCTAGAAACCAGGAGGTGGTGAGTTCTAATCCTGCCTTTGACATGGAAGTCAGCTGGGTGGTTTGGGCCAGTTCCTCTCTCTCAGCCCAGCCCACCTCACAGGGTTGTTGTGGGGAAAATAGGGAGGAGAATGAGGTATGTTTGCCACCTTGAGTTTTATATATAAAAAAGGTGGGATATAAATCTAATAATAATTCAAGGCTACGAAAAGGTGTAATTCCAATAAAAGAGAAGATATGTTGCTCAGGGTTGAAGTGTGGAGTCCTTGGTGCTCTCGGAGCTTGGTGGTTTCCTTGTAGACGTTTTATTACCCAACTAGGTAACATCATCAGTGCTGACTACCTATTTGGGTAATGAAATGGCTGCAAGCCAACAACCAAGCAGAGAGCACCAAGGACTCTAAAGAGGTAATTGGGTGAAACAGTTAAAGAACCATTGCTCTAAGCCATCCAATGAGGGGTAAATCAGGATGGCTGGGCTGGCACAAAGGTATCAACCCTGGTTGTTAAACCGGGATGGTACAGTGCATTGGGCCATCAACTTTTTCAAAACTTTCTTTGTTTGCTCTTAGAAGTCTGGTATTTACAATGGTGACAATGTGGATGATGCCTGTTGTCAGGAAATCAGGATGAGTTTAAAAGTTCCTCTTGGATGTATACAAAGAGGAGACTTTTGAATGGCTGCTTCCATTTGTTGTATAAAATGCTGTCACATGTGTCTTCTGGAGACAAGGATATGTCCCTTGATGAAATTGTGGGCTAGCAGAAAGTAGGTTATGTGGTCCATTTGCTGCTGAATAAAGTGGATTAGTGGAGATTTTGAAGTAGAGACTTGGGCGTGGGAGATGCAAGTCAAAATATTTGAACTTGATAAGGTAGAAAAGGGCATTTTGAACTGGACTTCTTGGAATGCAGTATCTCTTGTTGGGTTAGGCACCCAGAGGCAATCTCTAACATTTTGAGTAGGGAAAATGATTGATTGCCTTTTTGCAGATATTAAAGCTTTCTGGTTAATGGGAAGTTTGTTTTACACGTATATTGTAAAATCGGCTTTGTGTTGCTGAATGAAGAGTATAAAGAAACTATTAAGTTAGAGTGGCATTGATAAACATGTATCAGGTAGTCCTCTTAAACTTATCTTGTTTGATTTCTAGATTTTTATATTCAGATGAAGTTCAGATTGGTCCTGAAACTGTTATGACCACTCTCTATACAGCTAAGAAGTATGCTGTCCCTGCCCTGGAAGCTCATTGTGTAGAATTTCTCACTAAACACCTTCGGGCAGATAATGCTTTTATGCTGCTTACTCAGGTAACCATCCAACCATTTTGTTGGAGGGGGTTTAATAACGTTTTATTGAATTCAGACCTCCAGGGCTAGGTGGGTTGCATCTTAGCATGCCAATGATCTGGCCAAACTTCTGTCCTTGAAAAATCCTGAATAATGATTAGAAGAGAACCAGTATTGTCCCTATCTTAAAAAGGGGGGGGGGAGGAAAGGTAGAGTAAGAACCCATGGAAATACAGACTTCTCTATTTGACATTGATCATTGGAAAAATTCTAAAGTAGATCAGCATTTGAGGGGTGATTACTAATAATCACAAGTCCTATCAAAGTAATTTTACCTTATCAGATCATTCCCTTAGTAGATTGTCAGATGCTTTACTGATGTCAAAATATATCATCTTCATAGCAGTCACATAAAATACCCATGACATTATGGTTAGCATGATAGTCAAATATGAACTGGATGTCTTAGGTGATCCATAATAGGCTTGAAAACTAGATCCTCATTAAACTTGAGGGAGGTATTGAGTGAGGTTATAGGGTTCAGTCCCTGGCCTGGTACTCTTCAGTCTTTTCATGAATGACTTGGATAATAAAATGGAAGTGATGCTTTTTAGTAGGATGCAGTAGTTAATGTTCTAGAAGATAGAAAAATAATTCAAAATAATATTGATAACATAAATGAGCTGAAAATAATACAATAACATTTAATAGAGATAGGTGTTAAGTTTTTCATTTAGAAAAAAGAAATCAAATGCATAAGTATAGGATGGGGGCAGCTAGCTTACACATTAATACAGTCTTGGGAGTGTAGGTGATCAATTATTTCATGGAGAGATGGGACAACCATCAGATTCCAGTTCAAATTGTGTTGAGCTGGGAGGTTGGACTTAATGACCCTTTCTAATGCTATGATTCACTAATTAATTAATTAGAAATAATATGTATTGGAATGGCCTTGAGGAGTTTATGTATGAGGTTAGATAGATCAGATGAGTTTATTTTCTCTTCTAGTCAAACCATAACTAATTAAAAATCCCTTTAAAGCAGCAAACTTTCCTTGAGTTTCCTTCAGTTAAAAATAACAATTACTTTTATTATTTAATGTTGAAAGCATTTCTCTTATCTGTAAGCTGAAAATAGCATAATTCCAATCCAATATTTTTGGACAGGCTCGTTTATTTGATGAACCCCAACTGGCCAGTCTCTGTCTTGACACAATAGACAAAAGTACTATGGATGCAATAAGTGCAGAAGGCTTTACAGATATTGATATAGGTAAGTAGCTCCTAAACATGAATGCTTTTTAGAGGACTTAGTTTAAGGATTGGCAGTCTGGCCATTCAGATGATGATGTACAACTCCCATCAATCCGGATCGCTGATGGGAATTGGATTCCCACAGCATCTGGAGAGCACTGGATTCCCTGTTTCTTAAAAAAAAGTCCATTTTTCATATATATCTCCCATCAGTAAGAGATTTGCTAAGATGTTGCCTCTTTGGTTAGCAGGTTAGCCTGTCTGTCCATTAGGCTTTGCAGTATTATCCTATGCTGATTTTATAATTATATGACTTTATGTTTAATGATGCTGGCTGAATTACTACTGGATTAATTTTTCAGTGAAGTGTGAATAGGATTACCACAATATCAATCTAATTTAGCATAGGGTGGTTACTTTGATACTTAGAATTAGTTCTATGCCACAGCAGTTTGGTTCATCCTTCAGTATGCAGAAGTGTTGTTTTCATAAGGGAAGGAACGGCTGTCCAAACCAGTTTAGCTGGAATCTGTCCTGAAGTCAGACTACATGGTAGGCAGTCTTATTTGATCCATGCAGAAGCATGCAATTAACTTAATCTTCTTCTTCAGACACACTGTGTGCAGTACTGGAAAGAGACACTCTCAGTATTCGAGAGAGTAGGCTCTTCGGAGCTGTTGTTCGTTGGGCTGAAGCTGAATGTCAGAGGCAACAGTTACCTGTCACCTCTGCCAATAAACAGAAAGTTCTTGGCAAAGCTCTCTCTTTAATCCGTTTTCCACTCATGACCATTGAAGAATTTGCAGCAGGTAACTTTATGGTTGGCTTTGTTGTTGTAAAAGTTACACCAAAGTTAAATAGAAAAGTCTGTTAATGCTTCTATCTTACGCATTCTTACTAGAAAGGGCCTAATTTTACCTCTTTTTCAGGCTGTGTATTCATTGATGGTATTTAAAAAGCAAGGTAAAATTGTAGCACGTTTTGACTCCTCCTTAAACAATTCAGCACTCCAGCAATTTTGTGATAACCCTGCAATGAAATCCCAAATAGTCTTGCTTCGAAGTAAGCATTGGGCCTTATTCACAGATGAATATTGTCCATTTAATTTAGAATCCTTTGGGAAGGATTTCACTTTTAGAATTTAGTAATGCCACATGGGAAATACTGGCCACATACTGAAAATAAATCAGATGACTTCACATAAAATGTTATGTTCGTTTGAAATATTTGTTTGCAGCACTAAGAACAGTGGTTTGAGTATGAGCATATTTATTTGATCTTGTGAGGTTTTATAAAACCAACATTTAATTGTGTGTGTGTTGAACTTTGTGGCCATATAAAACTCTGCTTTGCATTTCACATTCTGACTTGATATATTTTGGTTTAAATCATATAAAACTAAATCTCCATATCTTGGCCCATTTAACTTCCTTAATACTCACAGAATAGTGCTTGTTGTATATGTTGAAAGAGACCGTGCTATGCAAAGCAGCTGGGCCATTTTTTAAAATTCTTTAATTCTGTTGCTGGTGGAAAGCTTGGCAGCATGAATATTTAATTAATGGACCATGGAAAAGAATTAATTGCTGATTAATTAATTAATTGCTTTTACCCTTGTGTATGAATTTTGTTAGGTTAAGTTTTGGTGGATAACCAGCCTGTTTTGTCTTATTTGGACAAGGCGCTACTTTATTTATATGTATGTATTCCTTACTATCTTTGAAAGCTTCATAGCTTATGTTGACAGATAGCCAGCATAAACCATGAACTCTGTCTGAATACCATCTTCTTTTTTTCTTGTCAGATTTCTTATAAAGATTGTATGAATCTTTTTTTTTTCCTTCAAGGCCCAGATTGTTTAATCGCTGCTGAACAGCTACAATCTAGCAGTGGGGTATATGCATAAATAGGCTTGTCCCCCCCCCCCCCGGTTGTCCTTCTGGTACAGAATATGTTCAGCTCAGTTGCACTCCCATTTTTTCCAGGTCCTGCTCAATCTGGAATTTTGTCAGATCGGGAAGTAGTAAATCTCTTTCTGCACTTTACGGTCAACCCTAAACCTAGAGTTGACTATATTGACCGACCAAGATGCTGTCTTAGAGGGAAGGAGTGCAGCATAAATAGATTCCAACAAGTGGAGAGTCGCTGGGGTTACAGTGGAACAAGTGACCGGATCAGGTATTGGTCACCAGTTTTCAGTAATATGACAGTCATAGTTGTTGGGGATTTGGGGAGGAGAGGTTTCTAGAATACCAGACAACAAGAAACTTAGTGTTTGGTCTGAAAGCAACTATATTAATTTCCCCCCTTACATCTGATGGATTCCATGATAGCCCATTATAAATACACTATAATAAAAGCAATAAAACTTCATTCAGAGTAACACTTAAAAGGCCGCATACCTATCAAATAGCACAGAACTTTTGAAATAAGATGAGCGTGCATATTGGCTGAGCACTGAACCTTTCACTTAGCAGAAAAGCCATTACTCTACATCCATGATGGACCAAAGGAGGAAGCGTGTCAAAGTTTTTCACAGAGACCAGAAATCTCAAGAATAAAGGGTAGGCCAGTTTATCTAAAGAACTGGCATTGGATTAGTTTTTAGCTGCTATATGTTGGGCTCTGGAATAGAGGGTTTTTCTTATGACTCGTGATAAGATTGGAAAAACTTCCCCTGGAAAATGGTACTCTGGTTAAGTTGATACACTTGTCAATGCGTTTGCAACTGAAATCAGCTATTAGCAGATGAAAAAATAGCTTCTAGTTTAGTGAAAAAGCAGCTTCAGGTAATTGTCTACTTTTTCCTCTTTTTTTAAGGTTCACAGTTAATAGAAGAATTTCAATTGTGGGATTTGGATTATACGGCTCTATTCATGGGCCCACTGATTATCAAGTTAATATACAGGTACAATTGTTTTTCAAGTTTACAATCAGTGACTCATTTTCATCAAACTGAAGATCAAGGATATTCTATTAATGTGGAGTCCTTGATGCTCTCTGAGCTTGGTTGTTTGCTTGCAGATGTTTCATTACCTGACTAGGTAATATCATCAGTATGTTAATATTCTATTAATGTTGTATCACTTAGGATGTCAGGTTAAGAGGAAACTGGGAAAAGACCGCTGTTTCAAATATCTCTACACAGTTATTTTAACAGGAGATAAATATTTAAGCGATGGAAGTCTTAATATTAGTATTAAAAAATAGGTGGGTGTTCTGAAGAGAAATATGTATTTCTTAAGTGTGGAGGTGTACAAATGCTTCATTGTCAACATGTTCTAATCCCTGAATGGGCCATTTTACATGTACAGGAAGAATCTAACTTTGAAACAAGTTCATTTTGACTTTGGAACTTTTTCCATACTTTTATCAAAGAATTCACATACAATGCTTTACAAGCTGTTTGAGCAGTTTTAAATTCATAGAGGATTTGAAATACAACTGTGCATCTAGAGATGAACTTCTTTCAAAATCATAGTTTCTTAAAGTGTAAATGATCAGTTTGTAGTTGCTTTACAGCTGCCAAGGAATAAGATATGGATATTTTGTTTTAATTTTGGTCTATGATGACAATAAAGTTATTTGCGTGAATTAATTACAAAGGCATTATCCCCATAATTACAGGGAAGTTAACAAGTTTTTAAACCTGATTCTAAGTAGAAGCAGTATGCCAAATTATGTTAATTAAATCACAGCCTCAGCTTCACTTGAGAATATGTCACTCAGGATGATTATAGCTGTGTTGCAAATAACATGATACAAATTTGAATTGTATTACTCTATCAATGTGTATGCAAATAATTGGATCAACAGCAAAACATTGTTAAAAGCAATCACACAGCACATCAGTGAACAGAATAAAGACAAGTGTTCTGCTCTGTAATTTGTATGCCTTCTCCTTGGTTGCTGTCTGGGACAGAGATAGCTAGAGAATTTCTAAAGTGACTAGTAAACATTGTGAGTTGTGCCCAGAAATAGTAAATAGCTGGCATAAAAAGAGAGGTTAACATTCCTTCAGGTTGAGCTATACATCTGTGTAGTTTTTTCTTGGCAACAGTACAAAAATGGTGTGCTGTTACTTGAGATCGGCCAAGGTCTTGCCAACTGCTATAGCAAGAGCTGGTATCACTCTTCCGATATTGGTTAGGAGCAGATGTCCCCGCCAATTCATTCCTTGATGCCTGCCTAACTCCCTGCCTTGTCAAGTGTTATTGTTAAAAAAAAATGAAGCTTATATGTTGCAAAGTATAATATTTACTTTCTAGAACAGTGTTTCTCAACCTTGACAACTTTAAGACGTGTGGACTTCAACTCCCAGAATTCCCCAGCTGGCTGGCTGGGGAATTCTGGGAGTTGAAGTCCACACGTCTTAAAGTTGTCAAGGTTGAGAAACACTGTTCTAGAAAGTAAATATTATACTTTGCAACATATAGGGGAATTCTGGGAGTTGAAGTCCACACGTCTTAAAGTTGTCAAGGTTGAGAAACACTGTTCTAGAAAGTAAATATTATACTTTGCAACATATAGGGGAATTCTGGGAGTTGAAGTCCACACATCTTAAAGTTGCCAAGGTTGAGAAACACTGTTCTGGAATGTTACTGGGAACCTACAAGACTCCAGAGGCATTCCAAATATGTCCATTGGCTCCAAAAAATTAAGAATGCCTACTTTGTAAGCAAGTACGTTAATCACAAATTCCAATTAAAGGCCCAGTTTCACCATGATGATTTGTGAAAACTTTGTTTGTTAAAGCCTCAGGCTAATGTTTGGGTCGGGAACTGGATGAGATGAACAGGCTTTAATGGCAATATTCCAGCTGCGTTTCTCTTTAATGAAGAGCTTAGAAAACATGTTCTCACAGAAAAAAAAATCTTCCCCCGCTTTCTTCCTACAGATAATTGAATATGAGAAAAACCAGACTCTAGGACAAAATGACACTGGATTTAGCTGTGATGGAACTGCCAGCACCTTCAGAGTTATGTTCAAAGAACCGATAGAGATTTTGCCAACCGTGTGTTACACTGCTTGTGCAACCTTGAAAGTGAGACACTTTTTGAAATCGTGGAGACAGTCTAACTATAAAGCAATGAACAAATGATGGGATGAAAGACTAACAATAATAATCCAGGAAATGCTTCTTTAAAACCAAGTTCTGTTTGCTATAGCATATCTCTTATAAAATCATACTGCTTTGTTTAGAATTGATCATAGTCTAGTGTGCGTCCCAAGTTTATTACTGACCCCAAAGTACTAAGGTTGCAAGGATAATTAATTTATGTTTCTGTTTAGGGTCCCGATTCTCATTATGGCACCAAGGGACTGAAGAAAGTGATCCATGAATCTCCAGCTTCAAGCAAAACCTGCTTTTTCTTTTTTAGTTCCCCGGGTAATAACAATGGCACATCTATAGAAGATGGACAGATACCGGAAATTATATTTTATACGTAACTTCAGAAAACTGAGATGGAGCAAAAAAAAAAAATTGCTTTGAAAATGAACAGAAGGGAAACATGAAATACTGTGAAATTTTGTAAATACATAATCTCAGATGCGTTATAAAACTGTCTTGTACATGGAAGGTACTAAACACTAGTATTCTCTACTTGCAATGATGATACTCAGCCAAACTTCCTTGAACTAAAATATTCTTACCTGTACATAAATACTTAACATGGTCATTTTAAATATGCTACCCGTAATCCGGAAGCTGAGAAAGAACATTTTTTTTCCTGAAATACACGTGCTGCAGATTATATATCTGTGGATGTTGTGATTGTGCTCCTGTACAGTGCAACACGTTAAACTGAATTGTCATTCTTGAAACTAACCACGAAGCAGAATTAAGGATGATACTGATTCATCTGTAATTGTACTCAATACATGTATATAAACTTAACTAGTTTTGTTGTGTACTGGAAAAATGTTATTCAGAAGTCAGTTGTATGGAGCTATTCTTTAACTATAAAGTGAAGTGTGGATGAAATCACGTATCCTTTTGAATACTTACAGAGATCTTAAATACTTTCAGTTTGTAAGGAAGCAGTGCTTAATGCAGTAAATACACAAAAAGTTTTCAGCAGTATACAGAATGCAATTTTTAAGGAAATTGGGCAAATTTCAGAGGATTAAGAATTAGTATTATGTACTAATACTAATTAGTATTAAATACACAAAGAGAGCCAGTTTGGTGTAATGGTTAAGGCACCAGGCTAGAAAACGGGAGACCATGACTTCTAGTCCTGCCTAGGCACAAAGCCAGCTGGGTGACCTTGGGCCAGCCACTTTCTCTCATCCCTAGGAAGGAGACAGTGGCAAACCACTTCTGAAAAACCTTGCCAAGAAAACTGCAGGGACTTCCAGTCTCTGAGAATCGGGCATGATTGAACGGATTAAAAAATTGTGTACTCAAGTCCTGGTTTTCTCAAATGGCAAATTATCTTTGTTGAGAAGGTTAGCGATAATGCAGTTTATCTGTCTACTCGGAAGTCTCAATAAGGCTTCTCTTGGTGTATTAGAGGATTGTTTCTTGCTGTTTGGGATAATTATGGCTCAAATTTTGCTTTAAACTTCTTACCAGTTTATGCAATCTTAAGCCCTTAAGTCTCAGTCTCTGCCTGAAAAACACCATAGAATAAAATTAATTTTGCCAAGGCTGTCAAAAGGTTTTCTGCTAAGTGATATATAAAGTGATTTGAAAATTCTGAAAAGGATTTGAAGAGGAGAAACTGAGAAGCCCATTTGCTATAGTAGATTATGATGTTTGGAGTCAAATTACACTGGTGAAAGCCCCATCCTTGGTGCTAAGCAGCAGTTCGGATCCTAAACACCCCATAGAAGCATTTTGGCAATGTTTACAGTGATCTTAATCCCACCTGTAGTAATATAGTCTTGGATGTATTGAAATTCTGGCTGCGGTTTTCCCCAAACACAAAGCATGCAAGGCAACATGATGCCTTACACCATGTGTATCGGATTGCATCTCCCACTGGCTAGGGATGATGGGCATTGTGGTCTTAAAGGACATTCTTGCAGACAGCTACTTATTGCAATACTGCAGTTTGCTGAATGGGCAGATCTTCAGTGGATTGAGTCAACACTTATTTAAGGACTATATAGATCAGTGTTTCTCAACCTTGGCGACTTTAAGATGGGTGGACTTCAACTTCCAGAATTCCCCAGCTGGGGAATTCTGGGAGTTGAAGTCC